TAATTATATTTTTTAGGTGAACATCCTCATTGCCACAGACTGAGGTCAAGAATAAAGGATACGCCCCCCTTCTTCGTCCAGGAACAAAACCTCTCCTTTCATCTGTGGCTGTCTGGCTCATCCGGCAGTTACAGTTCTATTATTAGCTCCTGGTTTTTCTTTTTTTTTTTTTTCAAAGAAGGAAAAGATCACCCTGATGTAATGGTTAACACCAGCAAACGGCACGTCACAAGGCCCTATCTCCAAATGATTCAGCACTTTTTACTCCCAGCAAGAAAACAGCTTCAACTGCTCAGTTTTATAAGCATGATTCCTTATTCAGGTGTCGAGCAGATATAGAGATTCAGTTATTTGTATAATCTAGATATTTTCTATTTTAGTTTGTTCATGTTTTGTTAATGTTCAGCATCAGTCTAAGCTGAGTTTTCACACCGAACTGTCTTGACACTATCCTTCTGAGAGGAATCACTCCCCACGGTGGCTGCTGCTCAGCAACAGAATCTAAGGCAACGTTACCCACAAATTAACTCTTTCTTACCTGGTGGAAATTACTGTATGCGACAATGAGTCTTTATAAAGATTTACTATGAATGCTTGGAATATATTTCAAGCAAGTTTTAGTTTAAAATGATTATATTATATGGAAGGACAACTCACAGACTGGTTTACTTTTTACTTTTTTATTTTTATTTACTTTGCCAGACCAGTACTAACATCAAAGCTGATTACAGATATTTATCTCCAAACAGAACAGCAAGCATGATCCTCCCTCATTACAGTTTTTATTTTATCAAGATTGCAGCTGGTTACATAAAAAAGGGACAGTTTCTTTGTCAGAATGTTATGCATAGTTATTACACATGTGGACCAATTCGTTGGTACCCCTCATTTAATGAAAGAAAAATGCAAAATGATCAAAGAAATAACTTAATTTAAAAAATGAATTATGAATAAACAATGAATGAAAATGTAAATTCAGAAATTGCTTTTTCACTCATGCTTCTACTGAATAATTTAAAAAATAAACTCAAGAAACAAGTCTGTTAAAATCAAGGACATGATAAAACATGTTGTGTCCAACAGTTAGCATCACAGGTGTTAACAATCTTGTAATCAGTTAGTGGACCTATATATAAGGCTAAAGGTAGTCTTTGTGCTGTTTAGATCAGCGTTGCACTGACACCGATACCAGTATCGGGCGGGGCGCATATACTGCACTAAAATGGTGGTATCGGTATCGGCAAGTACCAACAAATAGGGCACCGATACCATTTTGAGAGCCAAAGGTTTATTCAACTGTTGTCACCCATTCCAGGTAGGCAATAAAAAGTTCTACTGGATTCACTTTCTATTAGTCTTTTTCCTGCTTCACAAAGGTAGGCAGTAGCTTGATAAAGGCATGATGGCAATTATTTTACATCCAAGTATTATGAAATTCTTCATATATACACACATCAATTTCAAACAGATGGTATGGGTATAGGCTGATACTGCACATCCAGGTATCTGTATCGGGACAAAACAATGGCATCTGTGCAACACTACTTTAGATACATGGTGTGTACCACACTCAACATGGACCAGAGGGAACATGACAAGCAGGTTAAAGGTAAAGGCTGTAAGACCATCTCCAACAAGCTTGATGTTCCTGTAACTACAGTTGAACATATTATTCAGAAATGTAAGATCCATAGGAATGGTGCCAACCTATATTGAGGTTGTTGCAGGAGGAAAATTAATGACAAATCAAAGAGAGGGATGTTGAGGAAAAATATTTTTAAATTTTATTTTCCATTTTAAATAACTCTTCATTACATATAAATAGTTAGTCAGTTGTGTATGTCAGCTGTGTTAGTCAGCTTGAATGACATTTCAACGCTGAAGGCGAAGATGACCTATGATAACCAAAGGGGGTTTGGCAACCTCTTATATGCAGTATACTGTGGTCAGAGGGAGAAAGGCAGGAAACTGCATCCTTAGATAAATTGGAAAACATTTTGCAGTTCTGCTCCATTTTCGCTGAGAAAGAAGAAGGTATAGACTTCCGCTGCAGTTTGTGCTTGTATCAATGATTTTGTTAACAGCTTATCCAAAGGGCAACATATAACATATGTTGAATCCAAGGTGTCCAACAGTGGATTTCGCATGGTCTTCTGCCTGTTTTAGTTGCGTTCTCTGATGATTCAGATGAATAAGTTGCTTCATTATTACGGTGGATCCTGCAACAGCCTGCTAAAGACCTCTTTATTTAGTTCTGGTGGGTTTGGGCACCAGCTCTAAAGACCTTGAATTAAACACCCCCTGATTCAAATGATAGGGCTTACATCTTCTTAAAAGCAGTAAATCAAGAAAGGCACTGTTTGCTTTTAGTTTGTGTGAGGTTAATCTTTGGGATTTGCATGAATTGCAATCAAAAGGGCTTTATGTGCGGTCAACCTGCCTGAGGTGCAGGACATAAAAAAACAAACTGAAGCACTTCTTAGGTTAAAACAGATACAATGGAGATCATTTCGTAGCAGGCCTTTCAATGGGACCTCGCATCGAGACCCATGCCCCACCTTTCCCTCAGCAGCATTGCAGGGGTATAAATCTTTGAATAGCTGCAATCTGCGTCATGGATGAACACGCAAATTTGTCCCTCCCAGCTTAAAGAAGACAGAGGGGCTGATCTGTGATGAGGTCTCAGTTTTTAATGTTAAGGTGTTTAATTCAACATAGAGTATAAGAGAAGGCTTACCATTATATCGATAAAGATAAAGTAGGAATGACAGGCACAAAGATACATATCTCCAAGATTAAAGCTTTTTTTCCCCCAACAGGGATAGGGAATTCAGTCAGTGTTAAAGGGAGGATAGATAGAATGTAGCCCTTAAACACAGAGCGAGATGTAATTAGTGCTACAAAAGAGTGGTCCAGTCAAAGTAAAAACTAGTGACAAGGCTTCAGAGTAAACCCTACCAGATGCTATCAGATTTTTTTAAAGCTTTCCACCTGTAGACATAAAAAGCTGGCAGAGACTACTTCAAAAGGGATGCGGCTCTAAAGGTAGTTAAAGATTGATCAGAGAGCTTAAAACAAAAGCACGTGGAGCGTTTGTTGTTGTGAAAAATATCTGCAAAATTATTTAGGGATGTGAAAAAAAGGAGGAAAATAAGAGTTTTGGCTATGGATTCAAACAGGTCCAACATTCTCCGGCTTTCACCGGCTGTACGCTCTGTCGCCTAGCAACATGACTGTTGACACATAAAGCAGAATGCAATGCAGAAAGCAGAAAGAATGGATACCGAAGTTCTCACTGCTGTACTGGGTGCTAATCAAATTTTTGAGGTGCTTAAGCAGCAGTATCTTTGTCACGAATATCAGAAATATAGTCCAAACACTGCAGATATATTGAAATTTCTGCTTAAATGTTAGCCAAACCAAACATTAGCCACAACATATTTGAATCTATAACCATTTAAAACAACTATTTTCGTTAATTTCAGACTGAACTGTTCATAGACTTGTATTGTAATAAACTACTTTTACAATAATCATCACTGTTGTACCAAGTACCTTTTTCCTCTGAGCACGGAGCAGCCTGCTTGCTTGGACTCACAATGAAACAAGGGATATCCAAGGCTACATAGGACACACCGGACACGTCCTTCAAAACGGGCGAAAAGAAGGCTGCATTTGTTTGCCGCATAACAGGGAGTCTTCTAATCCGAACAGACCTCGGCACCACAATATGACGTAATCGGCCGACGAATCTGGCCTAAATTAGAAACATTTTTTCTTATTAAATCTTCTCTGCATTTGGATCCTCTACAAACCGCCACACAACCTGACAAAGACCTGAACATGGCCTTCATTGTTATTTCAACTTTCCCCGTTATTTATGACTTACCCTAAGATCAGAGGGAAGTTTATAAACGAATCAAACAATAATAATCCATCTTTTAATAATTAATAAATGGTCTCTTTACAATTTATCAAAAATGGCTTTGATAGTTATTGTAAAGTGTAACTCTTTTTAATAACAAATACCATCCCATGTATAGTAGTGAGACACAATGAAATCACATGCAGCCTTGGTAATGTCAAGTCTTTATTGATATGGTGTCATACAGCAATACATAAGTAGCAGTCACAGTAAAGAGAACAGCATGTGAACTACAGTCAGTCCCTATGCTTTAGATACAATTGTAACTCTAAACACTATTGAAGATACAATGAAAGATGAAAGCACCCCACTGGATTGAATCTTACATATCAAACACATAACCAGAAGCTGCTGGTGTTTTAAGGCATTTTACATCCTACAGTATATGTTTTTATGGTATGATTTCATATCGACTGTTGATTATGAATTGGTGACATATTGCACTTTGCTTATTCCTTTGGAGAATAAATGTGCATTTAAAAAAGTTTGGCAGTGCCGCAGTGACCTCTTGTTTTTGTTTTGTTTGTTTTTTTGGTTTACAGTGTAAGGCTTTTGCCACCATGAGCCATTCATACATTGTAATTGCACGCTTCACATAAGAGCTGACAGCATTCAATAAAATACGATGCCTATTGTCCCACTTGTTAGACCATTGTGCAAAAGCACATGTATACAGTACTAAGATACTTGTCACAAGCTTCAGGTAAACAATCAGATCCAGAGCAGCTAGCTAATACAATCAGCAAGTTCTTTGCTTCTACTTGTAAAGTGAGTATAGTTTGTCAAGGCATTGATCACCATGACATGGAGAGCGTGGCAGTGCACAAGCAAGAGTTAACAAAAATAAATAAGCTATAAGCTTCACACTTATTCTAGTAGTGTAATCATACTACAACAGACATTTTATCCAATCATGGCCACAGTTATTAAGAGGCAAGGTCGTGTTGTTCAGTGATCCTGCAGGTTTTCATTTAACTCTAAGAGGTTTTGTGTCATTGGCACATGCATCTTCAGACTGGAGTCATGTGACTGTGGGGTTTAAATGTGCTTTATGGTGTTTTCTTTTTTTTTCCTTTTTTTTTTCTTTTTAGTGTGTATAGACTAAATCACACCCAGAGACATAAAATCAAACTGAATTTCATGCATTTGTGTTAAAGAATAATGTGTGGTGATCCCACATATATTCAACCAGACCCGAAACCTTTTTTTTTGTATTTTAAGTACAATATGGCATCATCTTCAGTAGTGTTAATAGTGTTTAAAAAAGCATTATTCCTTTTATCCTTAATTAAACATTGTGCAAACAGTAAGTCATTCCAAGCTTATGTAATTAATTTCCATTTTAGTGCTTTAAAGATTGCTTTCTTCCAGTTATTCACATTATTGGTGGCCTAAAGCTGCATCTTAAGTATGATAAAAGTGGAGTTCAGCTTCCATGTTAAAAACAACAAACAACCATCCATCTAAGGAGCAGAGAGTTGACAAAAACCAGCCAGGCATGGCACATGCAAACAAAAGTTAATTAAAACAGTTCAGAAACTGATTGATTCAAGTTCTAATCTCATTAAAATAACAAAGCTATGAGACAGTAAGATTTTCGATAAATTGTGAATAGAGTTCAACCAAGAACAGAATTCCTCAATATAATCACCTATTATCATAGGAAAAACTGTAAGAGTTAACCTGATAACTATAGCTTAATTTCTTCTTAGACTGTGTATTTATGATATAGTCTATTTCTTCCTGAAACTGTCTCTGATAAAAGTGTGGCAGTTGATGTGTTTCTGACTTATTTTTGTGTGGTATTGTGCACCCTAACAGTCACACATTTGTTCCCCTTAAGACGTGTTGAGATTACATTGCAGCTTGTGGTATGAAGACAAACCAGAGTTATTGTTTACTGTGCCAGTCCTATATGATGACAGAACATTAGTGACGAAGACCAGTTGAATATTATTACCTTTAAAGAGTGTGACTTTGAGGAAAATGCTACCAAAGTGTCTGTTGTTATTCAACAATAACTTTGTGAATTAAATGTTCTGTTTTTGATGCAATAAAATGATTGCTTATGAAGATGGTAAATCAAAAGGGCTGCTTGTTTGCAAAAAAACAAAACGAAAAGATTTAGTGGTTTTAGGACAGCCTACGGGTAAGTTTTTAGTTTTTCTGATTAGTGGGTACGTCTTCTTGCTGCTTCTCCATCTTCTTGGTTGTCACGACAGTCTCCTCATAAACCTCACGCTGGGACACCTTCCCAGTGGGTTTGCTCTGAGGCTGCTCCTCCTCCTTGCCCTCCTTCTTGGAGGTCTTTCCAGAACTGCTGTAGATTCGGGTCTGGTAGCTGTAGCCCTGCCCGACACCCCCACTTATGGAGGGGCTAGGATAGCTGATGCCTGTTCCAATGCGGGTCTCCTCCCCTTCCAGGAGTTTCCTGCAGAGAGGCAGACACATGAATTGGAAGATTTAGGGAGAACAGAGAAGGAGATGAGGTATATGCCATAAATGCATTTAAAATGTATTTTCTGTGAGATGCTGGTGACTACTCATGCTGCAACGTTGACCTCACCTGTATGCTGCGATTTCTATATCCAGGGCCATCTTGACATTGAGAAGATCCTGATATTCTCTTAGATGTCGAGCCATCTCACTCTTGGTGGTCCTCAGTTCATTTTCCAGCTCAGCCATGCTTTCCTAAGCAGGGTTGGTAAATCAAGACTTTGGGTTAAATATGATTTACAACCACAATGTTAAGATTCTAAACCAGCTATAAATGTTCCTTTGTATGCCGTTGCTGTTTTAGGATGGTGTGATATTGTCCATCTCAAGAAAAAGATTCCAAGTTAATTAACTAAATAGCAAATAAATAAATGATAACCCTGTTTTTTGAAACATTTTTGTTTAATTTTGAAGCATTTGACTTGTTGATTTATTCCTTCAATTTATTTTTCTCTCTTTATCTGACTACCAAAGATGTGATCTGAAAGCGCTATTTGTGGAAGGACTCATTTAGAGTAAGTTGTTTGCTATCGGAGGGCGTTGTCAGACGCTGCAGAGAGCGGTTCTCTCTGGGGAGTGTTTCAGCACCAAGGACAGAGCCATAAGAACTGCCGCTGCCTCTCTGTGCGGTTTTATTTATAAACTTCTCCACAGGGAAAATCATAAAAACAAAATAAAGCTGAAACAACTTGCAATGAATTAAGAGTAATATATAATTATATTTAAGTAATTGTAATTACTGTAACTTCCATACAGGCTGTAATTTATCATATTTTCAGTGACTCAGATTATATTAGTTCATCGACTTTTATCCAAGCACTGATTATTTGTTACATTAAAATAGAGTCGAGTGAATAATTCCAAAAACAACTCAATTAATAAACGTAACTGGCATACCTGGTAGGAGTTAATCTCCATGTTGTGTCTGTCCTCCATCTCGTGTAGCTGCTTCTCCAGAGACTCGGTGGTCCCCCGCAGGCTCTCTATCTCGATGATCTTGGACTGAAGCTGCCTCCTGAACTCGTTCGCCTCCTCTCTGCTGGCTCGGATGGCCTCGTTGCTCCTGTTGGCCTGCTCCGTCAGGTCCACAAACTTGGTCTTGTACCACTCCTCGGCAGACTGCAGGTTCTTGGACGCCATGGACTCATACTGGCCGCGGATCTCCTTCAGGGCGGAGGTGAGATCCGGTTTGGCCACCTCCATCTCCACGGATACCTGCGCGGCATGGATCATGTCCGTCAGCTCGACCACCTCCTCTTCGTGCACCTTTCTCAGGAAGTTAATCTCGTCCAGGAGGGACTCGACTTTCTTCTCCAGGTCCAGGCGCACCATGGTGGCATCGTCAACGTCCTTCTTGAAAGCCTTGAGGGTGGCCTCCGCCTCCTCTCTGGCGCGGAACTCCTCCTCGTACTTCCCGCGGAGTTTCTGCAGGTCGTCGTCGATGTTGTCCCTCTCTATCACCAGCTGGGACTTCTCTCCGTTCAGCTCGTCCAGCTGAGAGCGCAGCTCTCGGATCTCCTGCTGGTAGAGCTCCGCCAGACGGGACGGCTCTGCCTGCCGCTGACGCAGCGCCACCAGCTCCGTCTCCAGCACTTTGTTGTGCTGCTCCAAGTTGCGAACCTTCTCGATAAACATGGCAAAGCGGTCATTGAGACCCTGCATTTGCTCCTTCTCGTTCGTGCGGATGATTTTGAACTCATTGTTGAGGACGCTGCTCTGGGTCAGGTCGAATGTCTCCAGCGGGGTGGAGAAGGAGCGGCCGGACTTTCTGCTGTAGGAGCCCACAGAGGGGATGCTGGTTCGGGACAAGGAGGAGGAACGGTATCCCCCTCGGAAGGACACGCTTACCGAGGAGCGCGATGGAGAGGAGAAACGGGGAGAATCCCCGAAAATCCTCCTGTAGGAGGAGGAGGAGAACATATCAGATCCGTAACTCATCTTTGCCTGCGTGGATTCAGAGCGCAGCAGTGGGCGCGCCTCCTTTATAAAGCAGGGGGGCTGACCCACTCACTAATTAATGCCAGCTGGAAACATCCGGTCTGGGTTCGGTCCAATACGTCATACTTGGAAAAAACTGCGAGATGACGTAGCCTATCGGCAAAAAAGACAGTACATGATTTCACCTGTTGGACAGAAAGGGGGTTAAAATAACAACTTACATATACCCTGTTTCAAAGAATTTAGAGAATAAAAGAAACACAATTATTATAAGAGATCCAGCAACTCATAATGAGAGTCATAATACATAGATAAAAAAAAAAATGAAAATCATAGAAAAGTTGTTAATCTTCTCAGCAACAGCTTTCCTGTTAAATCTACACACACATACACACATAAATAAAAAAATAAAATAAAATAAACGTCCAGGAGTTTCTGAAGGAACTCAGGACATCAGGTAGCATTGCAAGCCTCACCAACCTCACACAGCTCCACCAGAACGAAAAAGAAATTAGGAATTCTCTGTTGTGCTATTTTTTTTAATGAAATACACACATTCCTTTATTAATTTGTATTTCTTTTTACTCCAAGCAGCAAACTATGAGCTAAAGGTACTATGAAGTGTTAAAGAGGGGCCTGAAATGTTTACCATCCTGGAATACTAAAAAACTGGTATTTGGATTAAATGTAATCATTTTTACCGTTATTTTAGCTTTCCACTAAAAGCAATTTATTTTTTTAAATATAAGATATAGAATTTCATTTTTTTGTATCTTAAAAAGATTGATACTCAAAATATATTTTATTTCATAATTTTTAATTAGAGTATCTGTTAACATTCTAAAACATATTGTATCAGCAACATAATAATCAATATAACTACAAGAACGCTCATCCTGTCTTTATCAATTCTATCAGAAGCAAACGTTTGTTATGCTGTGTTATTGTCAATAATTTTTTAATTTTTACATTTTTAGATTAACTCTTCCTTGTTTTTTTTTCAGTTTTCTTTTTAATTTTTTGGGAATACTTTATTTTTTTGGTCTATTTTTTCATATTTATTGTTTCTAATATCTTTAGACTATATTCCTCCATGGCACGTTAGTTTTCTAATGTATCTAGTTTATCTGCTTCCCATAGTTTAGTTTTCACTTGGTCATTGGTTTCTTTTCCTTCCCCATCATCTCGGTTCCCAGCCCTATTGAATTTAATCTCCATTGCCACCTAGAGTCACCTTCCCCTCCCTTAGTTTTCTTCTTGTTCTCTTTCTGCACCTGTTCCCACATAGATCATAACTCCAATACTTGACCAGTTAGTTTATATGTACCGCTCCAGTTGGTCTTTGCTGGATCATCATCTTTACTTCATGTCTTTATTAATCCCTGTTTCTTTGGTAATGTGTCGATTAACTTTTGGATTACTGTAAGCCTTCTGCAGCCAAATATACAAGAAAACTATTCAGCATCTGCTTCTGCATTTGGGATCTAACTGCAAACATTCTACAACTCTGACATAAACATGACAAACACCTGTGGCCAGTGATAGATATATTGAGGACATAATGTCCATTTCCAGTGTGACCTAAAGTCATTAACACAACCATCTTGTCATGATGTTACAAAGTTCTGACCCAAAAATGCAGATAACCGAACAGAGAGATCAGGTAAAAGGTTTAACGGGTTTTATTGAAGAAGTAAAACAGGGGGAGAAGTGTTGCTCTGAACACTGCTCAACCAGAACTGTAAAGTGAGGGGAAGACACAGTGGTTAGTTCAGGCTCAGTGGGGAATTTGACTCGTGAAACTTGGAGAAGAGGTTTTGGTTGCCAACTCACGTTTCCAGTGAAGTTGTTGTATCCTTGACTCCTGTCTGTGTGCCGTGATTACAGTGTTTGTCTGATTCGGTGGAGGGCGGAACAGGGTTTACCCAGAATGCAGTTGATAGTTGGAGAACAGAGAAACTGACTGCCACTCAGATTTCCTGCGGTACTTGAACGGGTCGTAGTGGAGAATAATCCCTTTCTCAGTGGAAAGCTCAAACGATCTCTTGGGGAAAGTGGATCCAAACCTCCTGTTTGAACCCCAGCTGAGTTTGAAGCTCAGTTTATCCTTCCAGGGTGTGAAGGTCCGAGAGATCCAGTTAGCAGGACAACCTCCTGCCAAGAGGCAAAGACAAAACAAAGTTAAACTCAGGTTGACAAAAACTCATCTTAAGTCAGCAAACTCAGCTTGACTCAGCAAACTCAGCTTGGGTAGAGTACCCTAAACTGGCAAACACTCTGGCGTCGAAGTAGTGGCAGTCAGCAGCTTAAGAACACTCCGTTTAATGAGGAAACCATCAGCAGGTGTGTGAGGAGGCGGATCAGAACCAGGCGCCTCCTGGTGGATGAAGGGAGACAAACACAGACACAAAAACAGGAGTCCTGACACATCTTTCATTGACACTGGACTTCTGGCATTTTGGCATATCCTTCTCCCCAGTCTTCCTCCAGACTCTGGCACCTTGATTTCCAAATGACATGCAAAACTGAGCAACAGTCCAGTGCTGCTTCTCTGTAGCCCAGGTCATGCGGCTCTGCCGCTGTTTCTGGTTTAAAATTTGCTTGACCTGGAGAGTGTGGCACCTGTAGCCCATTTCCTGCACACACCTGTGCACAGTGGCTCTGGATGTTTCTTCCTCCAGACTCAGTCCACTGCTTCCGCCTGTCCCCAAGGTCTGGAATCGGCCCTTCTCCACAATCTTCCTCAGGGTCCACCTCTTCTCGTTGCGCAGCATTTTCTGCCACATTTTTCCTTCCCACAGACTTCCCACTGAGGTGTCTTGATGCAGCTTTCTGGGAACAGCCTATTCGTTCAGAAATATCTTTCTGTGTCATACCCTCTTGCTTGAGGGTGTCAATGATGGCCTTCTGGACAGCAGTCAGGTCGGCAGTCTTACTCATGATTGGGGTTTTGAGTGATGAACCAGGCTGGGAGTTTTAAAGGCCTCAGGAATCTTTTGAAGGTGTTTAGAGTTAATTTGTTGATTCAGATGATTAGGTCCATTTAAAGACCTTTTTCATGATATGTTAATTTTGTGAGATAGGAATTTTGGGTTTTCATGAGCTGTATGCCAAAATCATCTGTATTAAGACAATAAAAGACCTGAAATATTTCAGTTAGTATGCAATGAATCTAAAATATATGAATGCTCAAGATTTATCATTACATTATGGAAAATAATGAACTTTATCACAATATGCTAATATTTTGTGAAGGACCTGTATTCTATCCTGTAGAGGAGGGTTCCTTAATGTATGATCACACTACTGCTGAGTTCAAAATGATGATGCCTATATGTGGATAAAGAAGATCCTTGGATTTTCCTCTAGTCAAGAAACATGTTATGTTTTGTATAATTTTTCGATTAAATCTACAAAACAACCACCATGAACCAAGCATTTAGTTTACATCAATGAATTAGTGGTTTCCATTTAATTACAATTAGCTTGGTTTGTTTATATAGTACAAGTTCATCACAGATGTCAGTTAAAGACAAGCTGTCAAAAAACCCTAGCAGAACAAGGCTCAGTGTAAGTGGCCCACTGCCGACACTGACTGGGTGTTTTCAGAAATGCACCATGTTTCTCACAATATTTTTTGTTATTACCCGTAAAATATTCAACTTTATTTCATGTGGGTCTTGTGTAGAAAAATTTTTTTGAAATAACTTACAGCAATTGCATCAACGTTGCTAAATAGCTGAATATCTTAAAAGTTATGTCCTATATGGTTTTACAGTGAAACCGATCCAATAAACGATATTTTGCTGCCCTCTGGTGTTTAAAAGCGGTACAACGGATCTGTCTAAAGTTAAGCCAAAAAAGGTTGGTTATGTTTGCCAATAAAATTGAGTAAAGACAGTTTAGATTCTGAAAAGATTGCTGTGTTATACGTATATTAGTGTTTGAACTGCCTAACCCAAATATTTGGCTCTTTTTTCTAATAAAAAGTATGGAACAGTAACAAAGACTTCTCAATTAAAACAGAATCAAAATATATTTATTCTAGCAAATAGCAATATATCCACATATATTTCTTTTATCATGCTTTTATAGAATTTTGCTATTTCTATGCTTGGACTGCTTGTTAGTGTTGAAGTCCTGATGGATGAATGCGCCATGTCACTTTAAAATAGATTCAATAGATAATTTTCTACTGAATGTAACAAACATTCATATTGAAGACGCTATAAAATGCTGGAATCTGCAAGTGCGATTACCAAAGCTGAAATAAACAATGCAGTCTTGCCAGTTACTAATTTCAGATGTAGGAATTTTACACCTGAAACAAGCCAAAACTTTCTAAAATTAAGAAACTGTATAAAAAACATGCTGTGTGATCTGAAGCAAGAATCTGTAAATGTTGGAAAAATGGAGTGCACAACTTCATTCATTTTCATATCCGTTATTCAATATAATGTGATGAATTTAAGAAAGTCTTGCACTTAAAAAATACTTTTAAAAACAAATTTTACTATGTTATCATACTGTATCTGGTGAATCTCTTTAATTAAATAATGTAATGTTAGGTTTGCAAGTTTACATTTTAGATTTCAATTTAAACAGTAAACTCATATAGACATTATAGGTCATTTATTTGTGTTATGAGAAAAATCATTAAAAAAAAACTAAACCTAAAGCTACAATTCATTGTAAGCTAGGAAGGCATACAGCGCATAAAAATTCCCAAAATCCTGGAATGTTTGCCAATTCTTTCTGACATAAAGCTGCCACTTAATAAGGTTACTTACACGCACATTTTAGACTGCCTCGACATTTTGGGATAAAACTGCAAAACATTTAATTTATTGTCACTAAGCCTCTTTAATTAGTGTAGCACTCGGACTAGTTATATATAAAACAGGAATAGAAAACATGATACTTTCATTAATCACTTTAGAATAGGACACACAGAATAAAACAATATACTTCATTATACAGATAAACATTATGTTCTTAGCAGAAATTAGCAGTTAAGGTAAAATAATAATTATTCGAATGCAAGAGACACAGTTTTGAACTTAAATAAACATAACAAATTGTGGAATAAGAACTTAACATATACTTTATTTAATCGTTTGAAAAGGTTTCGGAAATGATATTCATCAAAAGTTATTCAAAGTTTTCAAAATATAGTTTTTTTCTTCTCTCTATCTATCAAGTAGGTGGCGGTATTGCACCTATAGTAGTTGTAGCTGTGGATAGTCACTTTAGTCATTTTATTGTAATTTACAGAATTTTTGAGGAAAATCAACTAAAACAAGGTCAAGAGAGGTATAAAAAAGGGGGAAAAAAATCTTATTTGAAGTTGATGAAAGACAGTTTGCAGTAGTTGAGGTATCGGTCAATGTGTTTGATATAAAACCTGGGTTAAATAGTAAGAAATGTATCATAGGTAGAAAAGGAACAACTGTCTACTGTGCTTTTATCCTTCCACATGTCATACTGTGACAGAAACGCACATGGAAGATACTTGCCAAATTTTAGACCACAACATCCAAAAAAAAAAATCCTGCAAAAAACGCAAGCTGAGCAAAAGTAGTGAATGTCTAATGCTCTTTATTAAACAAACAGAAACATAAAAGATTTATTATGTGTCACAGGCAATACATGTGAAGTAATAATGTATTTTTGTTTATTCCATAAAGGTGGACTCTGCTTTATGTCATGCCATGCTAGGATTGTGTGATTCCTTATAGCACTTTAGCGCAGGTGAGAATCCTTCCAAGCTCCTTACACTAAATGAACTATGATCGGAAGCATATAGGTTCCCTTTCTTACCATCTTCCTTTCTGCTAGCACTATTTGGACAGCACTTTCTGTATCATGACAACTGCTGCTTGACAACAGCTTTTTCCCTGCTGCCATGAAACTCTAATCAAGTCACAAATTAAGACTCTGCATTATACTTGTAAACCTGGCATGTACTACATGTGCTGCATCACAAATGATCAAATCACTTTAATTAGAACTCAATGTTTCTACTGTCTACTCTCTAAGTCTGAGTCTGACGCACTTCAGCTTTCGTAACAGAATTCTTACCCTGTTGATATGTTCAGATCAAGCTCCGACTTTTCACATTGGCCTTTTATGAGGCAGGATAGAATGTCACGGAATCATATAATTTCTTTTTCCAGTTGTCAGAATAGATGGATTCGCTCTTACACACTATATCCCATTTGTACCAAGGATGTGAAGTTGTTAGCTCTCTTGATTAATCCTTTTGAGCAGGGGTTGCTAATCATTTCAACCTTTGAACCCAAAGTTAACTAAGCAACAGACTGGCAAAAATAATCTATATTAATTTATACATACTCAGTAATTAAATGTATTTTATTTTACTATATTCAATTACTTAATGAATAATTTTCAATGTTTCTTTTTTATTATTTAATGGTACATTAAATAATTTAATTGTGCATTTTGTATTATACATTTTGTCTCTCCATATAGGCCTACTTCAGGGATTACATCTCGATGATTGTGAAACCCATCATGCGACTAGGGGGTAGCATGACCAGCAAGCCTGAATAACACGGAGGGTGTATACGTCGTATCTGGCCAGGGTACCTGGGGCTGCTTGCCCCCACTGTAGGAGCCCCTACTTTACAAATCAGCTTATTTCAAATACAACACATTGCTAAGGACCCTTAAGCTAAAAGTGGGATTGCATCAGCCGTCATCATGATAAGCACTGTCCATATAGTGGAAACAGTATTTCTACTTGCACCAATGCAGTCATTATAGAGACCTCCTGACATCCCTCGTAGCTGTTGGGAACGATACAGCTGCACCCACAGTCCTTTGTGCATATAGGAACAGCCCACCTCATGAAGGTGAACAAAAATACATGCGTGACACATGTAAATGTCCTAAACTTCATCTTTTTTTTTTTTGGTTTTGTGATAAAGATAAATATTTGGACTGAGTTCCTATCATGGCACTTAGGAGATATATACGGTTGCCCAAAGTGCTTTGCATTACAGGAAGTAACAAAAAAAAAAAAAGTACTTTATTTTTTCTTGTGCACGGTGTGTGAAATATGCAAAAGTACACACCTTCACATGTTTTGGGTGTTAATTTAAGAGCTCAGTGCTTAAAGGTCATCCTAAATTAAGGACTCTTTTGAACATGGCCTTTCAGCAGGGCTACATTGGGCCTTTCGCAATACAAATACCTGTTTGCTAAGAAAGTACAGTTGAAAGTACATTCCTGGCGTGGAGGCAAGAACAAAGTAGGATAGTTCAGACAGTTCAGCCAGAGCATACTTGTACCATGAGATCTCTTTTTTAACCTAGAATTCAATTATTTTCAAACATATATATTGTATTTTGCAGTTAAAAGGTTAATTTGACCAAATAAATATGAGATCGTTTTTGAGCTGAGTTGACATTTAAATCATACAATAAGAAATCCAATTTGAAAAGTGTTTCCTAATTGCCTATTTTAAATTGAATTATTAAGGAGAAATTCTAAATTGTATTTACTACTTCATTGTCAAATGCTGCAATTTTAAAATATAGGTGCACATTTTAAATCGTATTTCTAAGTTATGGAGGACCTAGAATCACTGAAAAAAAAACCCAGCCTTTTCAAATTGACCATTCAAAGTATGCAATCTGAAAACCAATTTTAAAGCCTTTTTTTACTTGCACATTTTAAATTAAGTATTCAAGAGGAATTATACATTGTATTTATTAATCCATTATAAAATATTGAAATGCCAATGTAAAAAAAAAAGCCTTATTCCTTTTTAACTTGTATTTTCCAATCCCCTTTGTAGCTACATTTTTATTATTTCTTTACCCTCTCCATTTAGTAATTCAGTGACCCTTCTGGTCCCTGAGCAGACTCAAATCCAGTTAAACTAATCATAGTTGCTCCTCAGATGTATGCAGCCCCCTCATTGGTTAGACTGCCCTATTTTGTTCATAAATTACTAAATTTAAAACATAAAATGAGAAATTGCTTTTTAAATAAAATTTCTAATTGTATTCAATTCAATTCAGTTTATTTACGGTATATAGAGCCAATTCACAACGCATGTCATCTCAAGGCACTTTACAGTTCAACCAGATCATACAGTAAAATTGATTCAAAGTTTTCTATCTAAGGAAAACCAGTT